AAAACGGTTAGTAAAACTACAGCCTATCTACCTAGTGTGCTGCCTAGGGCCTGGAGGGCCGCCGTGGGCCTCCAGGGCGCGTGCTGGATGGTACGCGGCCTGGGGGCCCCTCAGCAACCGTCGGGCCCCTCAAATGGGGCCCGTGTGCAGGCGCAGCATGCAACACCTATGGTGGACCTCAAGTTGTGCTGGCAGTAGAAGAGGGATGCGGACATTGATTCTGGTTCTGCCATTCATCATTATTATTATTGTTAATATTTATTGTTTGAATAAGAGGGGAGGAGAAAAGGAGGAGTTTGGTTGGCGAGAAAAAGGGGGAATTATCATTGGTCTTTTGCTGGTGTACATCTTCTTCTTGTTATTGGTTCTTTCTTCTTCTTCTTCTTCTTCTTCTTCTTCTTCTTCTCTCTCTCCTCTCAAATTCATTCGTTTCTTTCTGCAATTGGACGCCATTGTGCTTTCTTGTGATTTTGCACTTTGACATTGGCCAGGATAGTAACAGCACCATATTTCTTGTCTTTTGTGCATGTGGACATCTTCTTCTTCTTCTTCTTCTCTCAAATTCATTCGTTTCTTTTTGCAATTGAACGTCATTGTGCTTTCTCGTGATTTTGCACTTTGAAATTGGCCAGGAATCCAGGATAGTAACAGCGCCATATTTCTTGTCTTTTGAGCATGCGGACAGTAGTGGAGCGAGGCCCAAAACACAACAAAGCACAACACCAGAAAACACAGGAAAACAAAACACAGCAGATGGAAGCAATGGTCGGTCGAACAAACTACAATCTCGTGTGAATGAGGACCATCTATCCTTGCAACTTCAGAGCTGTCCTCGTGGGAGAGAGAGCCAACTGCCACCTGATGTTGTGAGGAGTAAGCCAGTGAGTATGCTCCCATGCCCATTCGATCTCACAACATTATCCATGCGACAGCCAATCTGTCTCCGACCTGACAACATCCATGCAACACCCAGACTGCGCCCCATCTGACAGACAGGTTGTCTGTCTTGTCAGGTTGTTGCAGTCTGTCACAATCTGAGGTCGTCTGTAAGACTCTTGCAGTCCACAGTTATAATGCAACAGCCAGCCAGCCAATCTCTGGTCTCGCGCATCTTATGGGACAGACTGCCTGCACCCAATGAAATTTGGCATCAAATCTGACAGACAGGAATGATCTGATAGACAGGCTGTCTCAGCAATCTGCACATTAGCATGAGCACTGAGCACACACAGATGGTGGGGCAACACCTACCTTGATCTCCAAGAGCTTCCGCTTTGCCCACTGTGCATTCTGGAAATCGGCAAGGTCGTATGGATCATATCCTGGCCCGATCCAGGCCAACCCCTCCTTCTTCACCAATCTGCTGAATGCGTCAATCGCTTGCTTGACGGCCATGGCATGAATCTGGTCAACCATCTTGACCGGAACTGGCCGCTGCAGCTCCCCCCCTGCATTCACTTCTTTTGCAAAGTTCGCACCCGTCCTCCCCTCGTCCACTTCCGAGGGCAAAGAGCCATCCCCTGCCCCAATGACCTCTGCGACAACGGAGAACCCCGCTTCCGATTTGAGATGATCCTCGTATGCTGATTGATATGCTGACTGTGCTTTCTTGAGAATAGCTTGGATGCGTCGGCTGTTCTCCACCGTTACGGCATTGCAGTTCGCCTTGATTTCCATTTGCATCCTTGTTCTTGCAGCAGCGTAAAGGGCACCCTTCGCATGCTTGCCTACGCTGGCATCATACCTGTAAGGGAAAGTTTGCCAACTCGGCAAAGTTTCAAAAAACATACGCATCAGATGACAGGGCGAGGGGCTCTGGAAGGAGAGGGCAGCACACAGGGGGCAACACAGCTCCTACGAAGACATCGTCCCAGAGAATTCCTACCTTCTTCACCTGAATATTGATAAGAAGTTGAGAGAACAATTTGAAATGAAAAACGGAAATCCATAAACAATTGATTGTCATACAGACAGAAACAAATCAATTACGTGAAAAGTTGCATTATATGAAACTCCATGAGTTATTTGGGCGTCATTGAAGATAACTTTGTCTTATGAAACCCGTTTGGAAGAGCAAAGCAAAAAAACAAAAAAATGATTCGGAAGCAAAGCTGTACAAGAGTAATTGACTGTTTGAGTAATTAAATGACAAAAAAATGATACATAAAGTTATAAACTCTAAAAATCATCGTTCACAGGGATTGGATAATGACTTCTTTGTTGTAATTTGCTCGAAATGTCTGAATCTATCAAACACATATGTAATTGACGACCTTCCAGTACTTTACCAAAATGGATTAAAAAGATGTTAAAAGAGGGAATTTCTATTTACTATTTATACCAACCCCGGCAATCTTTTTCAAATATATGGTCATTATTGCTGTCGATACCCGAAATACAGCTATAATGACCATACATTGTCTTCAGGTGAAGAAGGTAGCGTTTACAGTTTAATCTTGCAACTCTACCTCAAGGCAGAGTCACAGAGTGAGAAGAGAAACATGAGTAATGAACCCAGTCTGGCAGATACTCAGAAGTCGTCAAACATCAATAGTCTCATTATCTGCATCAAAGTCTCCAAATCGTGAAGAGAAATCTCAAACAGTATCTCATTACCATCAAAAGAAGAGAGTGGAGGGAGAAGAGACAAAGGAGAAGATGAGAGATCACACAATAATAATCCCTTCAGACCCCTCTCCTTCTCCGGGCTTCTTCCCTCTCCACATCAACAATGATAACAAGTATATTCCTGATCACACACAATAGTGCCACGTGGCACTTCAGCTCGTGAAGACCATGAAGACATAGCAGATTCCAGTGACGACGTCAACCTCAGGTGAGTACCCGACCTCCTTCATCCACAGATCCCGATCTTCCTCCTCGTCGCAACTGGTCACCTCATGTAGACAGCGTGGACAATGCCAAGTCAGCAGTCGAAACAGGTGGCATACGTCACATCATCAATGAAGACCAGTGGCAGCGCCACATCAGCATGCACTGTAAACCTGTTGCATACTGTAACGGTGCAGACCAGAACAAGAACCGACCTCTCAATACAAAGTACAAGATAGCGTAGCGGAAGACTTAGATACCAATGATCCGAACAATCAATATTGCAATGCAGCCCTGAACATACATCATCATCATCGTTCCATAGTGTGAAAGGGGTCTGGCGCTTCACACAGGAAGACTGCGCCAGCCCCAACCATACACCGACGAAGAAGAAGGGGGTTAGACGAAGAGGAGGGGAAGATGGGAATGTCGTCAACACCAAGTCTTCGGCACAGGCCCAAATAGTCCCTCGTCAAAATGTCTGAATCCCAAATGTCGAGTCTGGATCCAATGTCGTCAAGTCTCAAGTCACAACTCTCTCTCTCGGTAGTAGTCCGCCGATACTGAGAAGTCAGGTGGTGAGAGGGGAATAAGAGATGGTGGACATAGAAGAGGAAGAAGAAGAACTCTCTCTCTCTCTCTCTCTCTCT